ACTAGGTAATACAAGGTCTCATTGTTCACACTAAACCTACATATAGAATGGTGAAGATGTGGTGTTGTCTCCACCGTGTAACGACATACCCTAAACTACATGATGACCCACCCATCCACACACACACACACCCACCCACCTACCCACATTTGAAGACGTGTTGTTTTTGTACAGTTTCCATTATACAAATACAACAGGTATGAGAGAGAGCCGCTGTCCATACTAAACACAGGTAAAAAGATCAAACTACATAGTCTAAGCGAATAAAAACTCACTCTGGAGATTACACACACAAAAAGTCGGCCATGTCTAGTTTAGCAATGTCTCTTTCTGTAAAAAGTTAATCTGAAGTTGTAAGCGTAATAATCAATCCAGCTACTGAAAATGCAATAACCAGAGGAGACTAAACATACATACATACACACCAGGTTTAAGATTCTTATTTTGGGAAGGGAAACGTAGAGGTGTGAACCCATTACACAGAGCATCGATAACATAAGAGAATAATGCTTGACACGGTTCTTTGTGAGGTCCTTCATAACCGTTTAATTAATTTCAAGCCTGACATGCCTTGGACATACTGCCAGTTGACTTACTATTTACATTAAGACCAAGTTCAACCTACAGTACATTCTTTTGGCGTTCTCAGCAGTTATCACAATTCGTGGAAGGTAGTTGTTGCTAGGTGATCCTCACTTAACAACCGGCAGCCAATCGTCTCCAAAGGATGAGACACATGGGTGGAGCTTAATCGATTAGTCAATTACACAGAGTATCAGTAAATAAAACTACAGGTAATGTTTTTAGTGTTCGGTACGACTGTTGTTTGATCTATGAATACCAGTCACAAAAGCTACATATGACTATACCCACAAATACAGTCACTTCGTTACAAAAGTTGTCACTGACTGTCATAATGCATTTTGTCCTTGTACCAGCTAATGCAGCCCACCAGTCACTTTATGACATAAAGCCACTACTAAGAGTACCAGTTAATGCAGCCCAAATTAGTACTAGTTAGAGGTATAATGCAACCAGTGAGCGCAGGAACTAATGCAGTCACCAGTCATTATACCAGCTAATTCAGCCCTGAGTCCTGGCAGTGGGTGACCCAGCGTGTGTTAATCCCTGATGGCTAATACATCACGACCTGCAGTGCTTCCTCCTCCTTCTCCCTCCCCAGTATAGTACCCCATCCTCCCCCTCCAGTATAGTACCCCATCCTCCCCCTCCCCGCCTCCAGTATAGTACCTCATCCTCCCCTCCCGCCTCCAGTATAGTAACCCATCCTCCCCCTCCCCGCCTCCAGTATAGCCCCATCTTCCCCTCCCGCCTCCAGTATACCCCATCCTCCCCCCTCCCCGCCCCTCCAGTATAGTACCCCATCCTCCCCTCCCGCCTCCAGTATAGTACCCCATCCTCCCCCTCCCCGCCTCCAGTATAGTACTCACCCTTCCCTCCCCTCCCCTGCCTCCACCATAGTACCTCATCCTCCCCCTCCCTTCTGCCCCAGCCTCCAGTGCATCACCCTTCCCCCCAGTATAGTACCCCATCCTCCCCCTCCAGTATGAGTATAGTACCCCATCCTCCCTCCTCCCCGCCTCCAGTATAGTACCCATCCTCCCCTCCCTCCAGTACCCCCCCTCCCCGCCTCCAGTATAGTACCCATCCCCCCTCCCCGCCTCCAGTATAGTACCCCATCCTCCCCCCTCCCCGCCTCCAGTATAGTACCCCATCCTCCCTCCCGCCTCCAGTATAGTACCCCCATCACTCCCTCCCCCGCCTCCAGTATATCCTGCCTCCAGTATAGCACTCACCCTTCCCTCCCTCCCTGCCTCCAGAATAGTACCTCATCCTCCCCCTCCTTCCCCCCTCCAGTATAGTGCATCACCCTTCCCCTCCCCGCCTCCAGTATAGTACCCCATCCTCCCCTTCCCCGCCTCCAGTATAGTGCATCACCCTTCCCTCCCGCCTCCAGTATAGTACCCCATCCTCCCTTCCCTGCCTCCAGAATAAGGCACCTCATCCTCCCCTCCCTGCCTCCAGTATAGTACCCCCATCCTCCCTTCCCGCCTCCAGTATAGTGCATCACCCTTCCTCCCCTCCCGCCTCCAGAATAGTACCTCATCCTCCCCCTCCCTTCCCCGCCTCCAGTATGGTGCATCACCCTTCCCTCCCTGCCTCCAGTATAGTACCCATCCTCCCCCTCCCCGCCTCCAGTATAGTGCATCCCCTTCCTCCCTCCCCTGCCTCCAGTATAGTACCCCATCCTCCCTTCCCCTGCCTCCAGTATAGTGCATCACCCTCCCTCCCCGCCTCCAGTATAGTACCCATCCTCCCCTTCCCGCCTCCAGTATAGTGCATCACCCTTCCCTCCCGCCTCCAGTATAGTACCCCATCCTCCTTCCCGCCTCCAGTATAGTGCATCACCCTTCCCTCCCTCCCTGCCTCCATAAGGCCCCATCCTCCCCTCAAGTATAGTGCATCACCTTCCCCTTCTCCAGTACAAGGACTCTGTCACTCAGGCATAATTGAAAATTAAATCGAGCAATCTCTCCCCCACTACACACTATATTAATTCACCTGTTTACTTATCCACACAGTCTCTCAGGGGCAACATCTTCAATATGACAGATTAATATTTTCAATTTTGTTTTCAGAGGTAAAGTCAAATATTGCCAAAACCAACATGTCAGCGATCTTTAAAAAATAATGTATGTAATAACAAAATAAATTTCTAGCACACACACACACACACACACACACACACACACACACACACACACACACACACACACACACACACACACACACACACACACACACACACACACACACACACACACACACACACACACACACACACACACACACACACACACACACACACACACACACACACACACACACACACACACACACACACACACACACACACACACACACACACACACACACACACACACACACACACACACACACACACACACACACACACACAAACACACACACACACACACACACACACACACACACACACACACACACACACACACACACACACACACACACACACACACACACAGGATTTAAATTAACCACGAGCGATGCAGGCAATTAAGAAAATACGTGTACTTAAATAGTTATACCTGAAGATGGGGTCACTGGGCACAGTTAAGGGGGTGAGGCCTCCTGTGATCCCCAAGTCGTACCCAGGGAAGAAAACGACGCCGTAAGTGATGGAAGTAGTTGTGTCAGTTGTTCCATTATCAGATAACGGTATTAAAAAGATGTGGTTAATATTATAACAAATATCTTAATGATGTTTATATCTTTACGAGTCGTTGAGTTAAGATGTTGATGATAATGTGTTGATGTTGATGATGCTGAGTAATGTGTTGAGCGAGATGTTGATGATGTTGAGTAATGTGTTGATGTTGATGATGCTGAGTAATGTGTTGATGGTGTTGAGTAATGTGTTGAGCGAGATGTTGATGATGTTGAGTAATGTGTTGATGGTGTTGAGTAATGTGTTGTGCGAGATGTTGATGATGTTGAGTAATGTGTTGATGTTGATGGTGTTGAGTAATGTGTTGATGGTGTTGAGTAATGTGTTGATGTTGATTATGTTGAGTATTGTGTTAAGTTAAGATGTTGATGATGTTGAGTAATGTGTTGATGGCGTTGAGTAATGTGTTGATGTTGATGATGTTGAGTAATGTGTTGATGGTGTTGAGTAATGTGTTGATGTTGATAATGTTGAGTATTGTGTTGAGTGAGATGTTGATGATGTTGAGTAATGTGTTGATGTTGATGGTGTTGAGTAATGTGTTGATGGTGTTGAGTAATGTGTTGAGCGAGATGTTGATGATGTTGAGTAATGTGTTGATGTTGATGATGTTGAGTAATGTGTTGATGGTGTTGAGTAATGTGTTGATGTTGATAATGTTGAGTATTGTGTTGAGTGAGATGTTGATGATGTTGAGTAATGTGTTGATGTTGATGATGTTGAGTAATGTGTTGATGTTGATGGTGTTGAGTAATGTGTTGATGGTGTTGAGTAATGTGTTGATGTTGATAATGTTGAGTATTGTGTTGAGCGAGATGTTGATGGTGTTGATGTGTTGATGGTGTTGAGTAATGTGTTGGCAGAGATGTTGATGATGTTGAGTAATGTGTGATGTTGATGGTGTTGAGTAATGTGTTGATGTTGATAATGTTAGTATGTGTTGAGTGAGATGTTGATGATGTTGAGTAATGTGTTGATGTTGATGGTGTTGAGTAATGTGTTGATGGTGTTGAGTAATGTGTTGAGCGAGATGTTGATGATGTTGAGTAATGTGTTGATGTTGATGGTGTTGATAATGTGTTGATGTTGATGATGTTGAGTAATGTGTTGATGATGTTGAGTAATGTGTTCATGTTGATAATGTTGAGTATTGTGTTGAGTTAAGATGTTGATGATGTTGAGTAATGTGTTGATGGTGTTGAGTAATGTGTTGGGAGATGTTGATGATGTTGAGTAATGTGTTGATGTTGATGGTGTTGAGTAATGTGTTGATGTTGATAATGTTGGTGTGTGTTGAGTTAAGATGTTGATGATGCTAAACAAGAGATGTGTGATGTTGGATTTGAGACCCCCACACACACACACACCATAAAATAGAAATAACAGGTTACTCACCAAAAACAGACAAGATATCTTGGCCATTACAGGATCAGGAGTAGATGCAGTGAAGAGCAAGTGGTGGGGAGGAGGAGGAGGACAGGAGGAGGAGGAGGTGGCCCTGTTCAGCAACCACCACCAGGGACCACTGACAAATGTGCCAATCTACTGGGGTAGTAACGTTGCCCCCTCCCCTTACACCCGGGAGAGAGCTCTGGCCTGATCCTGGACTCACCACGTTACTGCCCTTTAATGGAGCAGTGCCATGGTACTGTATCTACCTCCACCATCCTGGCCCACAGCATCCTACAGACCCCATCATCCTGGCCCACAGCACATCCTACAGAGCCCCTCCTGGCCTAGCACATCCTACAGACCCCATCATCACAACACATCCTACAGAGCCCCTCTCCTGGCCCACAGTACATCCTACAGACCCCATCATCCTGGCCCACAGACATCCTACAGAGCCCCCACCATCCTGGCCCACAACACATCCTACAGACCCCATCATCCTGGCCCAGGTATCCTATAGACCTCATCATCCTGGCCCACAGTACATCCTACAGACCCCATCATCCTGGCCCACAGACATCCTACAGAGCCCATCATCCTGGCCCCATCTTCTAGAGCCCCCATCATCCTGGCCTAACACATCCTACAGAGCCCCATCATCCTGGACAGTACATCCTACAGACACATCCCCCCCCATCTGGCCACATCCAGACCCCATCATCCTGGCCCACAGCACATCCTACAGAGCCCCACCATCCTGGCCCACACACATCCTAGACCCCCTCATCCTGGCCCTATACATCCTACAGAGCCCCACCATCCCACAGTACATCCTAGAGCCCCACCATCCGGCCCACAACATCCTACAGAGCCCATCATCCTGGCCACAACACATCCTACAGAGCCCATCATCCTGCTTTAACATCCTACAGAGCCCCACCATCTGTACAGCATCCTAGAGCCCCCACCATCCTGGCCCCAGGCCTCCTAGAGCCCATCATCCTGGCCCCACAGCACATCCTAAGAGCCCACCATCTGGCACAGTACATCCTACAGAGCCCACCATCCTGGCCATCCTGAGGCCCATCCTGGCCCACAACACATCCTCAGAGCCCACCATCCTGGCCCACAGCATCCTACAGAGCCCACCATCCTGGCCCCACAGTACATCCTACAGAGCCCCACCATCCTGGCCCACAGTACATCCTACAGAGCCCCACCATCTGTTGCACATCCTACAGAGCCCATCATCCTGGCCCTACACATCCTAGAGCCCCACCATCCTGGCCCCGTACATCCTACAGAGCCCATCATCCTGGCCCCACAGCACATCCTAGAGCCCCCACCATCCTGGCCCCTGCACATCTACAGAGCCCATCATCCTGGCCCTAACACATCCTACAGAGCCCCACCATCCCTGCCCCAACACATCCTAGAGCCCCACCATCCCTGGCCCCAGCATCCTACAGAGCCCCATCCCCTGGCCCCTAGTACATCCTACAGAGCCCATCATCCTGGCCCACACAACACATCCTACAGAGCCCACCATCCTGGCCCACAGTACATCCTACAGAGCCCCCACCATCCTGGCCCACAACACATCCTACAGAGCCCCACCATCCTGGCCCACAGTACATCCTACAGAGCCCCACCATCCTGGCCCACAACACATCCTACAGAGCCCATCATCCTGGCCCACAACACATCCCTGAGCCCCACCATCCTGGCCCACAGTACATCCTGCAGAGCCCCATCATCCTGGCCCCCAACACATCCTACAGAGCCCATCATCCTGGCCCCAAACACATCCTGAAGGCCCATCATCCTGGCCCCACAACACATCCTACAGAGCCCCCACCATCCTGGCCCCCAGCACATCCTACAGAGCCCCACCATCCTGGCCCCTAGTACATCCTACAGAGCCCATCATCCTGGCCCTAACATCCTACAGAGCCACCATCCCTAACACCTCATCTCATAATCCAATCCTCCCACTAGACAACCCACAGAGCAGAAGGACCTCCCTGACATAAACTGCCCATGACCACTCTTCCACACCCCGTTTACCTACCCATAACCTCCTCCTCCACCTCATCCCCCGCCTGTCCTCCTCCTCACACCTCATCCCTGTCCTCTGTCCCTCCTCCCCACACCCCTCATCCCCCGCCTCTGTCCCCCACCACACCCCTCATCCCCTGCCTCTGTCCCCACCCACACCCCTCATCCCCTGCCTCTGTCCCCACCCCACCCCTTATCCCTGCCTCTGTCGTCCTCCTCCACCCCTCATCCCAGTCCTCTGTCCTCCTCCTCACACCTTCAACCTCTGCCTCTGTCCACCTCCTCACACCCCTCATTACCCCTCTGTCCCCCCCACCCCCTTATCCCTGCCTCTGTCCTCCTCCTCCACCCTCATCCCTTGCCTCCCTCCCCACACCCCGCCTCCCCTTCAACTGTCCCCCCACCTCCCATGCCTCCCCAATATTCATCCCCCCTTCCCCTGTCTCCCCAACACTCATCTCTCCTGCTTGTCCCTCTCCCACACCCCCTCCCCTGCCCCTGTCTCCCCATACTCATCCTCCCTTGCCTCTACCCCCTCCTCCTCCTTCCCTGTCCCAATCCCCTCTGCCCCCCCCCCCCCCCACCCTGTCACAACATGGTGCACCTCCCCAGGGGCGACCCTGGCCAATACTGTTAGGACACAATTGGTTATTCCGTGGATGTGATGACCATTGACAACACGAAGGATGGCATATTACTCCTGCACTGTCCTGTCCTCACAACCCCTCACTGTTGTTGACGAGAGACAAGATTAAAATTACTTATGTCTTACTGATTTACTTATCAAGGTTACCTACAACGCAAAGACGACGTAGACGCGAGGTAAGACAAAACATTACTCATCTTACAGATTTACTTAAACGCAAGATTGATGTTGACGAAGAACAAAAATAACATTTATTGGGTCTTACTGATTCACTTAAGTTACTTAAATCCAATGCCGATTTTGACGTGACAAAAACAATTTGTATCTCACTGACTTATTTATTACTTAAACGCAAGACCGATGCTGGAGAAAGATAAGATGAATTACTTGTATCTTACTAATTTACTTGCTCAAGTTACTTAGCCTACTCTAGTGTTGTGTTGTGAGAAGGGATGAGGCTCTTCTGTTCAGTTGTACATCAACACGAGTGACAGTGATGGGTAATAAGACACATGTACAACAGGTTGGCAGCGTCACACACCTGTAATAGTGTTGTGGCACATAAGTATGACTCCGTAAGAACAAAAATACACTAACGGACCACAAGTCTTTATCCCAATACAAATATTCACTACCGACACCCACCACCATTGCCAACAGACCTCTCGGCCAACCACTGCATTACCTCGCGCACACACACACAAAGCTAACAGTAAAAAACTTATTTGAAAAGTACCGAATATTCGTTCTGTTTGGGTTTGACTTCTAGAACCCAAGGGGATGCGTGGGGTACGGTCTCTATAATCCAAGAGTATGCTTTAAAGAGCATAAAAAAATTAAATATTGTTTAAAGAATATGCATATACAGTAATCTGTAATGAAGACATAATAAATAATGGTTGCCCCTCGTGTAGCGAGGATGGCCGGCCCAAAGGCCACCAAGGCGCGAGTTTGTTTAAGGTGTAGAAGCTGTCGCCAACACAACCACACCCTAAGTTAACGAGCTGCGTGACCCACTGTCAAGGAATAGTCCGAGAAGACCGGACAACTCGCCAACTGCACTAGCCAACTGCAAATCGATTAACATCCAGGTTCCCAATTACTACTGGGTAGACAGAGGCAAATGGCGTAAAGAAACCTGCCCATAGTTTCACCCTGCCCGGGGATCGAGCCCGGGTCTGGTTGCTTGCGAGGCAAACATGCTGACCATTACAGCACAAGTCGCCGTAAAAACATACACTAACCATACATGCCACTTGAGTTAATAATAAATATAATGATAAAGGTTATGATAAATGTAATGTTAATAAATGTAATAATAATAAATGTAAGAGACAAGTAATAAATATTTAATGCATATGTTTTCAATTATAATAAACAATAACGCTGAACGAATTACACTTACCGTTCAATCTCCTCCCTTACCGAGTCTCAGTCACCTTCTCCCTCCATCACTTCTACTTATCTCCCTCCATCTCCTTGGTTCATTGTTACTTTTTCTCTCCACCTTCTTGCTTCATCGTTACTCATATTCCTACATCCTTGCTTCATTGTTACTCATTTATCTCTACCTCTTTGCTTCATCGCTACTTATCTCACTCAGTACAGATAACCACCATTAAGATAACACACACTTCAATTACAACGAAACAAGAAACACAAATGAAAAAAAAAAACTCACTCACAACCACAACGTAACATGCAAAACAAAAACACATGGAAAAAGTCGTCTAATACCTCAAAGAAAGGATACTGTTAAGACTATATTCTGTATAATCTGCATAATTCTTCACAGCCAAGAAGTTACTGAAACCGGCGGTGAAAACTGAAATCACAAAGCAACAACATGAACGAGTCTTGATATTACGTTCCATACTTATTACTGTTATTTATAATATCTAATACACAAACCGTAATAATAATACTACTCGGAACACAATCTCCTTTGCCTAATAAAGAGATGATTTACAATCCCTCCAAGTGTACGATTAGCAACAGTTATTGTCAAGCGATCAATTAATTGTCACCTAAGACCCGTTAAGATTGGGGTTATGGCAGGTAATTGATGACTCCTATAACCAGGTAGGTGGGTGGCTTCCGGTGCTTACTGGGTATATAATTATTACTATGGTGTGTGTGTGTGTGTGTGTGTGTGTGTGGAGCTGCGTCGTCACAATGGGCTATAACCTTACCAAAGACCAAACTCAAATCCCTGGGACTAAAATTTGAATTTTCATCGTAAGACCGAGAGTTTGGGATTGGTTAAGTTGGGTTAAATAAGTTCAGTCTGGTCCTTAGAAATGGGGGTAACGGTAGGGTGGGGTAACGGTAGGGTGGGGTAACGGTAGGGTGGGGTAAACTGCAGTAGGCAGAAAACGGTAGGGTGGGGCAGGTGGGGTAACGGTAGCAGGCAACGGTAGGTGTAACGGTAGGGTGGGGCAATCTAGGCAGGGTAAATTTAGGGTGGGGTAACTGTAGGTGGGTAACGGTAGGGTGGGGTAACGGTAGGGTGGGGGTAACGGTAGGGTAGGGTAACGGTAGGGTGGGGTAAGGTTAAATTAGGTGTCTTGTGTAGGTTAAGACAGAACAGTATAGCATTGGTTAAGGTAACTAGGGTATGGTGTAGAGAAGGTTAAGATACGTCTGGTTAGGTTTGGGATAAGTAACAGAGATAGGTTAAGTTGTTTTAGGGACGGGTTAAATTAAGTTCGATTAAATTAGGATCGAGGAATGGTGTCAAGTTTTACTGTTCCGTACTCTGTTCCACGCAGCCATCCCTCCCATGAAGGTAACGGTTGTCCCTCTTGTCATACTGGGGGAATGACTGATCCTGAACAACTATTTTTAATACTTAATCCCATGCTTTTACTGACGCTTCTGAATAAACCCTTTGAAGCTTAAGTGTGTGTGTGTGTGTGTGTGTGTGTGTGTGAGTGAGTGTGTGTGAGTGTGTGTGTGTGTGTGTGTGTGTTTGTGTTTAGCATTCTGTCGCGTGCACACACTCTTGCTGGAGTACACATCAGCTAGCTCGCTCTCTCAATATACGCACCTCACAGAGCCTCACCCCTCCACTATCACACACTCTTCCTCACTTCACACTTCAATGGTCAGTCCTCCCCCTTCCTTTCATTTCCCTTCTGTTTATTCTTTACAATGGTTCTCTTCCTCCTGCCATTTGAAGTCGGTAATTCATTTTTCTCCTCTGTTCGTCCATCTGTCTGTCTGTCTGTCTAATTGCATTTATGTCTCGCTAACTAACGACCAACTGCTGTCTGTCTGTGTGTGTCCGTACGTCAGGCTGATGTCTAAATTTCTGTTGCTGGTTGTCTGTCTTCGAACTACCTACAAATACAGGTACAGGCATAATACAGACACAGCTACAAGTTACAGTAATGTCCAGGTCGCAATTCACTGCCTGTCCTCAATCCTGAATACAACAATAAAATCACTGAAAGATCGAAACCAATTTTGACGCTGTTTAATTACAATACATCTGTCTCCATAAAATACGTCATTAATTATTACTAGTCATTTTCATCGTTAATTTGTAGTATGTTCGTTTGTCACTGCACCTTGATGTGGTTTTGTTTAGGGGTTCAAAGTTGGGTTCATATTGTCTTTGTCTTGTTCTAGTCTAAAGGCATTATGTGAACGTCTTTACACACACACACGTGAGAGAGAGAGAGAACATAAGCATGGAGGAAACTGAAGTGGATCTATTAGCCTATACTGGGCAGTCCCGTTTACACACCCATTCTGTAGTACGGTGACCAGTACTGAACCGCGTAATCCAAGTGAGGTCTCACAAGCGCAAGATATAATTTTAGGTAAACCTAGCTAGTCTTGTAACTAACACCCCAAGTACTTTCTTAGCCTTGTTTCGAGACAGACAGACGGATTGCCTCCTGCTAAAAAAAAAAAACAGCTTCCTGACAACACTGAATTCCTGACCTTTCTCCTTAAAATATAACCAAACTTAGTATATCCAACTTACTATTCATTTACGATAATGCCTTAACATAAGAGGTCTTAAAATCAGCTGAAACTCTACCATAATTTTCTCCTTCGTCAACTAAAAAATTATAAAACATCTCCCATATTATGGTAAA